CCATCTTAGCTACTTTCATAGACCTTTTTGCCCAATAGCATTAAAGCCTTTCCTTTAGCACACAGAGGAGCCAACACATGTAGAATTTTTTGAAAGGTCTGAAGCTTCAAACATAAGCATCCTAGCAATCCTTCCAGTCTGACTTTGAAAGTCTTAGCAGAAGTGAATTCCAGTAAGTTTTATTTGCTCAGTGTGCACCCAGGACACTGGGGAGGTTTTTACCCTTTAGAACTGTGACATAGCAGGACATAGCATATGTATAAAATACATACACTGACAAAACTTTAGAAAACATTTCTCCCCTTGCACAGAGTGCTTACATGGCCATGGGGAAACACCCTTAGGAATGTTGGGGTGCACTTGTGGAACTGCCAGAGTGCATGGTGGCATGCCAGCGCACTTCTTCTCACCTAATTACCAACCTGCAGGGGAAATGCCAGCCAAATCAGACTATAACTGATGTCCCATGAACCTGCCAGTCCCTCTCATGTTGTGCTCAAGGAGAGACGATGCATCAGCTCACAGAGCCAGACACTCAAAGGTGACAGCAGGGAACTAAGAGAGGATTCTCAGCTATGACCGGGGAAGGTTGAAAATGCTGAAATGATCATGGAAAACACACACTTAGACCAGTTGGCATTAATGATTTTTTTATTATGTAATTTTTAATATGTTATTTTTCTGTTTGGATCTAATGTTCTTATGAAGCAAGTGTAACTACAGACTGGAATGTAAAGATTGTGAAACCGAAAATTCTGCTCTTGATAACAGCTGTCTCCAAATAGACTACTTCATATATTGTCAGCTTTTTATATAGTTTCAATAAAGATAATCTGCAGAAAAAAAAAAAAAAAGATTTTGCTCAAGATGGTGATACAGAGACTTTTAGCAAACGATGGCCAGGCTCATCACAGTTTATCAATTCCATGACAGGCTACTATAGAGTGATGTAAAACACCTCCAGGTCCTTTAAGTTGTAGTTCTATGGTAAGTAATTTTGTTACTAATTATCTAAATTTAGGCCTAAACATAGTGAATATCTAATCTCAGTTTGTATCTTAGCTATTGGGTGTTTTGGGTTGATAATAAAGTTGCTTTCATAATGTACTTATGGCACAGTAGTTAAGCTTTTTATAGCTGATACTTAATATTATTGTGCAAAGTCCTTAACCATTCTTTATGCCAGTGTTCATTAGTTTGGTTTCAATGTATGACTGCAATGACTGGCCTGAAATTTACCAGCCCTTGTTATGGCGGTACTTAGTCAAACTTTCATTTATTGCTTAATTTTTATTACGGCTCTATCCAGTGTGAGTGTTGGCTGAGAAAGATGTGATGAACTACAATGTATTGAGCCTGATACTGCCTCTTTGGGGGAGAGAGGGGTTATCTAGAGTACAAGCAATTTAAAGGGTATTTTCACTGCGAAGGGTCACATACTTACATGTATAAACTTGCCATCAACTAATAAAAAGGCCAGGACCAAATCTCTTGTTTATGGAGTCATTCCATGACTCAGCTAGGCATTTTCAGCTTCTTGTTCTGGTGGTTGAATTACATCAGACTTTTTTTTTTTAAAGGAAAAAAAAAAGCCCACAAACTATGGACATGACCTTTTAAAACACATGAAATTGACATACTGGTATTAAGCGTAAAAGTGGTTTTAAAGTATTGAGGTTCATTACAGAGGTATATGTATATAATGATTGAAGTTTATAAAATCCAGCCTCCTAAATTATCTGTTCCATATATATAATATGTATATGATCTGTTCCATGTATATAATATGTATATGATCTGTATATATATACATACACATTATATAGATAATTATATAATTACATAATATACATATAGATATTCTGTGGTATATATGTGAGATGTATATCTGAGATATATATCTGTGTTATATGTATCTCTGTTATATAAATATTTGTTATGCATCTATATCTGTGTATGTATATACACACACACACACATACACATACCTGTTTGCCCAGTGGTAAGCAACTGCACTGCAGTCCCAAAGATACACAGGTCAAATCTGCCAGCTGCTCCACAGGAGAAAGATCAGCAGTCTTCTCTCGTGCAATTAAGTGCCTCTGAAAACTCGCTGGAGGGTCAGCTATTGGTCCATTCCAACTTAATGGTACACAGCAACTATAGATAGATAGATAGATAGATAGATAGATAGATAGATAGATAGATAGATAGATTAGATATATATAGATATATGGATATATATATAGATATAAAAAATAAGAGAGTTCTGGTGGCTTAGTGGTAAGAAATTGCACTACTAACACAAAGGTACTGGATTATATGGTTCAAATCCACCAGCAGCTCCGAGAGAGAAATATGGGCAGCCTCATTCCATGTGATTTACTGCCTCTGAAAACCCCCTGGAGGGTCAGCTGTTGGTTAATTCCAAATCAAAGGTACACAGCTGTGTGTATGTGTCTGTAAATGAATGGAGAGAGAGCACACACTGGTGGGGGGAGGAGGGGAATCTGTCAACCAGTAATTCTCTATCAAGGTTATCCTGTAAAAGACAGCAAGAAAGAAGAGGATGAATTAAAAACATTCCCAGATGAACAAAAAGTATATTATTACCACCAACATTCTTTCAAAAAATTGCTATAGTGCCCCCATCAGGTGGAAAAGAAACAATACTGGACAACTCTCCAATCTAGTTTAAACTAGAGAAAAAAAATTTAAAAATATTTATAAAAATGATATTGACAAAGACAAAAATAAAAACTTTTAGGATATTTTCATTCTGTAAAATTAGTTAATTTTTTTTGTTACAGACATAGATGTACGAAAAAGAAATTTATCCTGACAGATACAAGTGTATAATGTTCTGAGAAATGATCCGATAATAGAGACAGAAAGGGAGGAATTGAAATTTAAATATGATAATTGTTGTTGTGTACTGTTGAGTTGGAACTGACACATAGCTGAGACTCCGGCGGGTTTTCAAAGGCAGTTAATTGTGTGGGAGGAGATTGCACATCCTCCGTTGGAGCAGCTAGTAGCCTCAAATCATATGCTTTCAAGATTGCATAGTATTGCTGAGTGAAATATCTCAGTCACAAAGGGACAAATACTGCATGGTGTCTCTGTTGTAGAATGGGTCTGACATCAGGGTTGGGGTATGACAGAAAAAAACTGGATAAATTATGTATATTGTATTGAAACAGATGAGGGAAAGAACAGATTAGAGGTGATATATGATTATTATGGTTAGCACAGGAATCCAGAATTCAGGTTGCATAGAGAAGTGTACTCGGGGTGAGGGGTGGAGGGTAAGGGATGTGGGAATTGTATACTAATGAAGGAATTTTTTTTTTCTTTTTCTCTTCGGAGGGGGGAGCGAGCTGGTGGGGAGGAGTGGGCAGGGAGAAAAGTGCAGCAATGAATGAATGGAAATCCAAAACCTCTGTAAATGTCTATTAAAATTAATAATTAAAAAAAGAAAACTAAAAAAAAAGATTGCATAATGTTATATATATAATTTTCTCATCACCATTAGGTGCCTTCAAGTCAACTAAGATTCATAGCAACTCTAAGGATAACAGATATGAACTTGTCCTTTCCTGTACTATCTTCCTAATCTCTAGTCCTGATGTTCAAGCCCATTGTTACAGTTACTGTGTCAGTGCCTCTCATTGAGTCATCTCTCCTTTCTGTCCTTTCCCAGCATGATATCTTTCCAAAGACTAGCCCCTCCTGGCAGCATGCTGAAATCGCAGAGACCAAGTTTCACTGTCCTTGCCTCTAAGGAGCAAATTGATTGCTCTACCTCCAAGACATTTCATTGTTTTTGTGGCAGTCCAAGGGATATTTAGTACTCTTCTCCAGAAACTCAGAAGGGTCAGTTCTTCTTCGATTTTACTTATTCATTGTCAGTCTTCACATCATTGATTATGCAAAAGCTAAAATTCATGGCCCTTGAGTTGGAGCCAGTTCATAACTAACCCTTCAGCAGGTTTTTGGAACATTCTAAAATCACATGAGAAGAAGAGATTCTCCTGTCGACCCGCTAGAAGAAGCCACCTGACTTTAACCCCTTTAGCATGTTAAAGAGTTCCTAGACAGCATACTATTCCCAGTGCAATACATCTTTTGATATCTTGACTACTGCTGGCTGACTGGCTGGAAGAGATCAATGTTTGTTCCCATTCCCAAGAAAGGTGATCCAACCAAATGTGGAAATTACCAAACAATATCACTGATACCACAAGCAAGCAAAATACTGCTGAGGATCATAAAAAAAAAAATGACTACAAGGTTAAATAGAGAAATGCCAGAAGTTCAAGCTGGCTTTGGAAGAGCCCACACATCTTTACTGATGTCTAATGGATTCTTGAAGAAAGCAAAGAATACCAGAAGAATGTAGATTTGTGCTTTATTGATTATGCAAAGACATTTGATTGTGTGGATCAGAACAATTAATTGTGCTTGCGTAAAACGTATGGCTAGACCAAGAAAGAGGCTGAATAGTGAAAAGAGTTAAAATAGTTAAAATTAGGAAACAATGACACCTGACAGCAGTCACCATGGATGTTGACTGTGGATCCAAATAAAATGAAAACACTTCCATACTTTAAAATTAGGAAAAATGTGTGTCAGGTTGTATACTTTCTCCATA